TGCCAGCTGCCATCGGCGTGCTCAGGCCAGGGAGAGCCACTGAGGGGCAGGAGGCACAGCTGCACTTTGGACACACGCTCCGTCCTGTGTTAGCATTGAATACAGAAAAATGTCCATCGCAAAGTGCTCGGCGCAAAAAGAGCTGTGTGGAGCCAGGAAGTGTTGGGCTGGAAGTGAGATGCAGCTTTAAGAACAGTGTGAAATACCCTGTTGTCACCCAAATAAGGGTGCGAGGCTGAGTTTGGGAAAAGCCTGTATGTAATTAATGCAGCATGTGCTTGTGGAAAGATGCACAAGTGCTGCTACAATGCTGGAATTGGCAAAGAGCAGTCCAGGATTAAGGGCTAATGCTATCTTATTTAGCTAGCTGGCTTATTAGGAACACACATAACCTGTGTGGTGTCCATATGCATTACTAGCTTACCTGATGAAAATAGCAACTCGTCCTATTGAAGGCTCTTAGCAAAAAATAAATGTGAGGGCGGGCATGTAAGACCTGTGCTGGAAGAGGAAAAGACCTCATATTACAAGGCCTTCAATAAAGAATATAAATAAGCAAGGGTTATGGAGAACGACAGCCTCTGTTTTGATTGTAGAACATGAATGGATGCAGACAGGCAACAGGGCTGCAGGGTTTTGTGGTTTGTGTGGGTATTTCTTGAGAAAACATATGGGAATAGTATGGAAACATACAAGTGTGTGTGCATGCACCTACAAACACACACGCGTGCACATACAAATATAATTATATAAAACATGCATATATGTACATGTAGTATATAATATATAGTGTAAACATATATGCATGTCTAGGTAACTATGTATTTACTACGTATTTATGAGTGATGTATTATTAATAGTTCTTACATCATGTGTCATGATGGAAGAGCTACTACTAAAAATCCACACATAAAATAATTGTGTAAAAATGAGGCTGTGCTCTTTCATCTTTGGCTGATACCCTGCACAAAGCAGCTCTTCTCATGATGGTCAGATGTGCTTAGACACGTAGGATGATTAAGATTATTTGGATTATTGCCACCACAATAACTGTGATGCTCTAAAGGGCCTGAGAGCTGGTGTGGTGACTCTGATGGCCTGAAGAGCTACATAAGTAGAATAGCAGAACATAAATTTTTAATGGAGAAAAAAAAAAAAAAAAAGAACTTACCATTAAATGCCCTTAAAAGCTTGAGTGAATAGGTCCACCAGACAGCTGGGGAAGGGCTGGCTTGCACAAAGCAGGTCAGGGTGACGTTCAGCCCCACTGGGACCGTCAGGTTCGTGTCAAGGGCTGAGGTCAGGGGCTTCATGCAGCTGTTGAGCTCCACTTCATGAAAAAACTTCCCTGCCCTGAATTTCGGGCTTGAGCAAGTTAAATAGGAATTCATCAGAATAATAGGTGGGCCGACTGACTTGATAAACTGGACAAATCCCCGCAGGCGACAGTCGCAAATCCAGGGATTGTCATGAAGGGCCAGGACAGCGTTGGCAATAGCTTCTATCTGCCCCTCCGCCCTCTGGCTTCTCTGGTAGACAGGCCAGCTGTAGAAGACATCCCTGGATATGACAGTAAGCTGATTTGAGGATAGATCTAAATAGGTCAGGTTGGGCAGATAGCGGAGCGCGTGTTCTGGAAGGACATCCAGCCGGTTGTGCTTCAGGTCCAGGATTTTCAGAGCTGGGGTGTCTTGAAATGCTGTCCATGGCACCGAACTTAATTTGTTTCCTTGCAAGCGCAGTTCCTTCAGAGCCGGCAGGTATTCCAGGCTCTTGATGTGCATCACTGTGATGTTGTTAAAATTGAGCCAGAGATACTCCAAGGCACTAACATTCTCAAAAGACCCACGAGGCAATTCTGTTAGGTGAGAATTTTCTATTCTAATTTTCCGGATGTCCTGCGGGATGTTTGCAGGAATCTGCCTCAGCAGTGCAGACATGCAGAGCAAACTCCTAAGGAGGAAACCAGAAAATTCTCCAGGTCATGCACCACGTTCATGGCTAACAAACCACTTCCCTATACAGGTGTACAAGTACTTGAATAATTATAAGGTACTGTACACATGGCATGCATAAGCCATACATCCATCCTTCAGTTTGGTTTTACACCCATTTTCCCACAAAGACTACAAATAAGTCATAAAAAGTGCTACATACGCAACTACATATCTTGGGGAAATAAGAGAAATCTGATTCTATGCTCAAGCTAGTACTGTTCAAGAATTAAAGGAGTTATATCATGCGGTCAGCTGCTTGGTTTTGGTGCTCACAACATCAGCAAATATATATTGGGAATCTCCAAGCTGCTTTGCTGGTGCTACAACTAGGGTAAGTAGCGTTCTTACCTTCCAAAGCTGTCTTGAGAACAAGAGCATCCTGTGACACAAGACAAAACAGATGGGTTTATCTTGTGGAAGGCCAGAAGAAGAAGAAAAATATGACAAATAGGGTCCATATTCTCCTTTAAGAAAGCACTGTGCAGGGTTTGCACCAAACATGCCAACAGCCTCCAGGAAGCAAATCCTATTATTAGCTGTAATCTTCCTTGACGCAGAGATAAATCCTGCTGGGGACCCGACCCTAAAGAAGACATGTAGTGTAGTTCATAGCCTGCGCCGAAGTGCTAAAAATCACCCCTGGGACCACTCCTGGCATTTATTATTTAGCTGCGGGGATTCTTACAGCCAAAACCACTTGTGTTCCCAAGCCCTTAGAAGTACTTAACCAGGCCTGTTTACTTTTTTTTTAATTTTAATTTCAAGGGGGTCTGTCTCAGTCTCTTAGATTTTAATGGCATTTACTAAGGCAGAAAACCACAGTAAGGGCCAGACTTCACAGCTGTAATGTGTCGGTGCATAGTGCCATACGGCACAGTCCATCAGGCCCCAAAACCTGCCCACAGCTCTGTGCAGGGTATACTCTTGCACATGGTGAGCATGAAACCTGCTCCCCAAACTTAGTTGTTCTGTCACAGAAATTGAAGTATGGTGCTATTTTTCCTCTGCAACAACTTTTCCACACACTATCTCCAGTCTTACACATTGGTAATGAAAACAGCAGTAGCCGGTCTTTGGGCTTCTCTGAGAAAAGAGTATCTTGGAAGTTAATCTGTATTGTATAAAATGTCAGTGCTATTCGCTGGCTTCCCCATAAGACACATGCCAATTGCATTTCAGTCACCTTGAAAAATTCAGTTTAAATAATTCTATGAGAAGGGATTTGAAGTAACTGAATTTATTTATCTTTTTAAAATCCGAAATAGCAGGTTTTGGTTATAATTTCCAAGCAGCGCTGCGTTCTCCTGGGGCCATCTAGTGTGTATGGGCTTCATTACAGCCCGTGGAAGCCGCCGGAGAAGGGCTTAGCCTCACTGCCAGTACGTGTGTGAAGCTGGGTCACAAATCAAGATTAGCCTGAACCTACTTAACCTCTAACCTACGGGACCGGGATAGAAAAATATTTATAGTGTGACGGCTTAGACCTATATGTGGCTGTCAGGGTGTGTGCAATAGCGTAGCCGCAGTAAGCCTACAGAAGACGTAGGCTTGATTCTGCAGCTTTTAAATCAACAGGTGCTTTGATTTCAAGGTGAAGCAGCAAAATGAACTGGTGGGGAAACCCCTGGGGACTGTTGCAGCACTTTGTGATTGCCTCCTGTGTACAAGCAGCGGGCCACCAAGTAGTGGGCCTGTTGGGCTGCTGTTGCTCACTATGCCCAGTATCTGACCACGAGCATAGGGGATTTTTTTTTTTTAAAAAAAAAAACTGAAATGTTTCATATTTGCCCATGGTGCAGTACTTGATATTTCAACAGCTGCCCTACATTTTAACATGTCAGTAAGCCATGAGTGAAGGAGAAAGGCTGCTGGTCTGTAGCACAGCAGATGCAGCAGCTGTAAATTCCCCACCTGACTGTGGTGGCTGCTGGGGACGTTTCTTGGTGAAGCTGTTGCTGTTGCAATGAGGGTGGGACCAGCACAACCCTGCGAGCTGAGGCAGACACTCCTTATGCCCTTTCAGTGAAGCTTAAGCAGCACAGGGGACACCGGTCAGCGGGGCTGGCTGCCTAAAGAGGGAGTGCTGCAGGAGCAACCCTGGCAGCTGCAATGGGAGGCTGTGTCCTTCCCTGTCACCCCTCAGCTGCTGAAGCAGAGGGCCTCAGGGACCCCGTGCCCACCCTGCATTGGCCTTGGAGAGACAAATGCCACACTCACCAGTGCCTTTGGGCCTCTTCTGTAGTCTGCCATGGAAAGATTCCCTAATAAAACAATATTATTATAGTAATTATTATTTTA